CCCAATACTTCTGTTAGTCTTAAAGGTGCCACAGGACCCTCTGTTGCATAATATCCTTAGACTTCTGTAAAGCATTATTACTGCATGACATCCCAATTAAAAAAATTAACACTATAATAAATCAGCGTAGCACCTATTAAATGGATTAAAACTGGGTAACTAATAGAGCTCAAAATATAATTGCTAAAGGGAAATGATTATCTAATGGAGTTGTTTCTATTGGGGTTCTAGATGGTCACAATGATCCCTTGTGGCCTTAAAATCTATTAATCTATGACAATTTTCAGGTACACACTGTACCTTTTGAATGCTAAGTGTCAGTCAAATTCAGAGATGAAGTAAATGGTGATAAAAGTTCTATGTTGATAAGTAGGGCCCTACCAAATTCATGACCATGAAAAACACATCACGTGAGATCCGTGAAATCTAGTCTTTTATGTGCTTTTACCCTATACTATACAGATTTCACAGAGGAGACCAGCATTTCTCAAATTGGGGGTCCTGACCCACAAGGAAGTTTCTGGGGGTTCGCAAGGTTATTTTAGAGGGGGTTGTGATATTGCCACCCTTATTTCTGCACCATCTTCAGAGCTGGGCAGTCGGAGAGCAGCGGCTGTTGGGTGAGCGCCCCGCCCTGAAGACAGCACCCCGCCAGCAGCAGTGCAAAAGTAAGAGTTGCAATACTATACCATACCACCCTCATTTCTGCGCTGCTGCCTTCATAGCTGGGTGCCTGGAGAGTGGCAGCTGCTGACTGAGGGCCCAGCTCTGCTGGCAGCAGCGCAGAAGTAAGGCAATACCATACCATGCCATCCTTACTTCTGCGCTGCTGCTGGCGGCGGTTCTGCCTTCAGAGCTGGGATCCCAGCCAGTAGCCGCCGCTCTCCAGCTGCTCAGATCTGAAGGCAGTGCAACCATCAGCAGCAGTGCAGAAGTAAGGGTAGGAGTACTGCAACCCCCCTGCAATAACCTTGCAACTTTTTAAAATCATTCTATTAGTTATTTTTACATGATGGACCTAAAGCCTGAAATGAAAACAACAACACTAATATTATAAAGCTATTTTATAATTTTGTTTTTTAATACTGTGTTGGCACTTTAATTGCAGTCAAAGCACTTTGACTGTTAAGTGTTGTTAAGAACAGATAATGATAACTTTTCTTCCCCAACAACTGACTTGCAGCTGCTGTGGTGGTGCAACAGGATGATACCAGATCAGTATATCAGGTTGAACATAACTCTAATGATCAAATCTAAAGGTAACAAAATTGAGTGCAGCAAGTTATATCACTCTTTCAGTAAGTATGCTGCTGCATTGCCTACAAGATAAAAAAAAATTGTATTGTGTATTCCTAGGATGTGAAAGCCAGAAATAAAAGTTGATCAGCTCTTCCACTCTCAGGAGATGTACAACAACACTCTATTTGGCATAAAATGAAAAATGTATCCATTAATATCTTATATTGCGAGGGAAGATGGTTAAGGCACTTGACTTAGATTCAGGAGATCATCTGACACGGACTACTTGTGTAACCTTGGGCAAGTAATTTAGTGTATGTCTCCACAGCAAAAAAAACAACAACCCTGTGGCAGCAAGTCTCAAAAGACTTGGTCTCATGCTATGGGGCTGAAAATAGCAGTGTAGACATTCAGGCTTGGGCTGGAACTTAGCTTTTACAACCCGGGTGCCGAAAGGAGGAGGGGAAGGGTCTTGGAGCTCTGGCTCCAGTCCAATCCTGTATGTCTACACTACTATTTTCAGCACTGCAGCACGAGCCCCACAAAGCTGAGTCAAATGACCTGGGCTCTGAGACCCCTGGGCCGCAGGTGTATTTTTGCTGTGTAGACATATGCTAAGTGACTTGCCACAAGTAGTCTGTGGCAGAGAACAGGTTTTTTTTTTTGCTGTGTAGACATACACATAATCTCTTTGTGCTTCATTTGCCCATTTTTAAATACTTTCTTTCCCCTACCATTTGTCTATCTTCTCTATTTAGACTGTCAACTCGTTGAGGCAGAGACTGTCTCTTATTATGTGTACATACTGTACCTATTACAATAGGGCCCTGATCTTGGTTGGGACTCTAGGTGCTAATAGAATGCAATTAAATAATACATTGTTTATACCTTGTCAGAATGATGATAGAGCAGGGACAGACCTGATTGATCCATCATATTATAAAGATTGATACATTATAGTGTGGAATAATAGCCTTGGACTATTTTTATCCTGTTCCTTATTAATAAAGTAAGAAGTATTTATATGCTTTTAGCTACATCAGGAGATTAATGTTAGAAAAGAACCAGCATTTTTTAAAAAGTTGACATAATTTGATAAAATGACTGCAATGTGTACATTTCCAAAGCAATGCACAGAAAAAGATTAGCAAGTATTATTTTCTGGTATTACTTTGAACATTTATCCCTAAATATTATTTATGATTTAATTCACCCAACTATCACTCAACAGTCTATGGATTTCTTTATCACTACCATATCAGCACACTGATTTATCATGTTTTGAACTATCAAAAGAAAAGAGAGAAAAGAATTAAACTTTTGTAGTCTCTTTTTTAACATATGTTCATTTAATTTGAATAGTTTTATGCTCTATTTTTAAAAGAAAATCACATGCTTCAGTTACCTTTCTTTTTGGTGGGTGATTTTGGAGGTGGTTTCTTGGCATCTTTGGCATCCTTTCCACCACCTTTGCCTCCTGCTGCCTGAGGTGGTTTTTGACGTTCTTGTTCTTTCTTTTCTAGCTGCTGGCGTTCTTTTTCTTCCTCTGCTTCTTTTGATTGTATTTCAGCAGTTACCTTAATATTCATATTTTAACTTAACTATTCTGTATCTATAACATACAATGAATATTTTGAACAAGCTATCCTTTATTTTCTACTAGTGGTTGCTCTGGATGTATAATATAAATTAGATATTTTGATTCTTGATTTCATATTTGATCAGTATATGATTATTAAATAAGGAAACAGCTGTTAAAGCAAAAAAGCAAGAAGGAAAAAGATGGCAGCTTTAAATATTTCTTAGAACAAATGATTTAAGTATTAAAGGGAAGCAGGGGAAGTAGTCCAACTGGTAACCAAGCAGGGCTAGACTTCAGCGAAGGCTGAGAAGCTGAAGAACTGAGGGTATGTCTTCACTAGCAATGATAAAGCGCTGTGCAGCAGCGCTTTAATGTGGCTGTGTAGTCGCGGCACCAGCGCATGGGTCTGGTATTTGGACTGGAAAGATTTAGATCTAACTATTTAGCCAATCTGTGAATCTTTACTAAACAAAGCATTTCTTACCATATTTGATATTGCTGTTACTGCTGCTTGCCATGTATCAGTGATAAGTTTCTCATCTGCCCCAAAGTTAAATATTATACTTTCAGAGGAATTCCCCTCCTTATTGCTCTTTAGTTGAATTGCTTTGCTTTTCTGCTTGATGACATTTATTTCAGGAGAAGGGGGTCTACGAGGAACCATGGGAATCCTTGAAAACAAAATAAGAAATAACTCACTATCCCTATGGTGTGCTATATGGTTACATAGTGCAATTAAGTTACAGTATATTAAGAGAACCAGAATCCCATTTTCAAAGTCTGTGATAGCAATGGAAAAAGGAGGAACCCTCCCACGGATCACAAGAGGTAAAATTTGTGGATGACACAAAATCATATTGGTTAGTCCAGAGTAGAAAGGTTTATAAGGAACTCAAGACTGATCTACACAAAAACAAGGGACTAGACAACAAGTAATACACACTGGATGGACTGATATTAACTACTCATATATATACTGATGGGGTCTTGATAGACTGTAACCATTCAGGTATCAATATAGGTATTGTTATGCACAGCATTATGCCATTGTTATACACAAGTGATGGTATACTCTCACCTTGAATATTGTGTTTAATTCCTCACACCCAGCAAGGCTGCTTTAACTTATGTTCAGTTGACCCCAACCTCAGAGGCCATGCTCGTGAAATTTTAATTTTGTCACTGATCCAGAACTGAATGTTTAATATTTAACTATAATTAGTTGCAGGATTTGTTGGGGAACTGCCATAATTTGGGGAAAAGAAGGAACCTTTTATCTGGCAGCTTTTGTTGTTTTGTTACTGCAGAGAGAGGGGGAGGGATAGCTCAGTGGTTTGAGCACTGGCCTGCTAAACCCAGGGTTATGAGTTCAATCCTTGAAGGGGCCACTTAGGGATCTGGGGCAAAACCAGTACTTGGTCCTGCTAGTGAAGGCTGGACTCGATGACCTTTTGGGGTCCCTTCCAGTACCATGAGATAGGTATATCTCCATATATTATTATTATTATTAGATGGGGCAGCCAAAAGTGTCTAATAAATTAAATACATTACAATATTCAACATCTATCATATGGCTGTGATCTCCATCATCTATCTATTTAACAGTTACACATGCACAAACACACTTATATGCTAAATTAATTATGTTACTTTTTTTTACAATGCAGTTTTTACCTTCTTGACTTGCTTTGATCCACAGATTGCTCTACATTAACAATATCTAATAATGGGATTCTAGTGAACTCTTGACAGGCCTCTGTTGGCATTTTGCCTTCCATTCCCCTGTAATAGTCATGTAGAAATCTCTTTGTATCTTGGAAACGGTCCACTTCAACCTTCATAAGGGAAGACAGATTTACATTCAAAACTTGATGGAACAAAGCATTTTCTGTTTTTTATACCCTAAAGTATAATATCAAAAGCAATGCCTACTTCATGAGAATGCTTGATGGAGGCTAGAAAATAGGACTGGTTGATCATATGTGTTTAAGTATTTTATAATAAATACATACTACAACATGTACTGGAAAAGTACACTTTCAAAATGTGTGTTCAAAACTTTAATACAGATATTTCTAAGCTTTAATAACAATATCAGCTATGAAATAGGAAAATATATTTAATTTGAATATAAAAATATATTGATATTTAATTCGGACACATATATATATAAATAAAATTATATGAAAATAAATCTACCATGTGCTTCTAAACCGTAATTAAACAGATTTGAATACATCTTTAATCCAAATTATGAAAAACCTTTAATAATAATACTATAAAGCAAAAGAAATTTGTTTAAATGACCAAGAAAGAATTATAATTGTGCAAGCAGTATAAAGAAAAAACAAGTGGATTTTGTAAGGTTCAAGACATCTATTTATTTCAGAGTGAAGCCAAGAAGCATTAGCACCTGTCATGCTTTGATTTATTAAACCAGTAGTGTCGGAGTTTCTAACTGACAAAACGGCACTGCATATTCATGGGAAAATGAACAAAACCACACTCACAAAAAGAATAAAAATCTCATAGTGTAAAACAGCCAGTTGGTCATAAGTTAAAGATAAAAATTCTTCTGGCTGGTTACAGAAAACAAAGAAAGTGGATGGAAATCTGATATAGACTTGTTAGGGATATCAGACCTTGCTAAAATGAGTATATAAAATCTATACTGATACAATAATATAGCTACCTGAAGAACATATTATAGAATCCCATAGTAAAACCTACACCAGAGGATCTCAGCAATCAGGAACTCTCTGCCTGTTTTGTTGCTATTCTTATTGCCTTCTCTGACAAAGCTGTTGAATGTAAAGGTATACATATCACAATTTCAGACTTGCTAGTTTTAGCATGAGTAATTTTGCCCATCGTTGTCAATGAAGGTTATAGTAGGTAAAATTATTATTAATCATGTTAATTACGGTAATGTCAAAGGGCCAACCAAGAATGCGGACCCCTTGCGCTTGGCACTGTACATACACAGAGTGGCAGATGATCCATGCCCTGAAGAAAGTAAGTGTTGGGGAAGGGATATAACCCACAAGCAGAGTGAACAATGTGATGGTAGCAAATATCATGTCAGTTCCACGGGGGTGGGGAGAGGTTTGGGGTACTTAGGACGTAACAGTTTGAGGGGAAAAGTCAGAAGCAGCTCAGTGACTTCGGACACAATCCCATTAACTTTCAATGACACTTAGTGCTTGACTACACATGAACTTAGTTCATGGCAAAGTGGGTGCACCCTGCATTAGCTTATTCTGCTAAGAAGGATAGCTCAAAGTGCACTAACAAACTATTAGACGAGCCTTATGCGGATTCAAAAATTTGGATCCGCATCTGCAACAATTAAATTATATCCAACCCGCGATCCACACTCCACCTTCTATATGCATCTGCATCCACACCTGCACCCTCTAGAGCAGCAGTTCTCAACCAGGCCTACATGGCCCCGAGAGGGCCACAAGCTGGTTTCAGGGGGTCCACGGGCCCTGCCGGGCGGAAGCCCCGAGCACTGCCATCCCGTGCAGGGCTGAAGCTCAGAGTTCCGAGCTGAAGTCCTGTAGCATCATTTCTAGTGACTTCTACTTGCCCTGGATCATGTAAGAGCTGAGCTGTGCTCCCTATGTGAACAGAGAGGTGTCCATTTTTATAATGATCACTGTGGGAAGATGTGCAAATGGAACTCCTGTGCATATGTTGTGATGGTCCTTCCACTGTTGAGGGATTGTTTCATGAAGGTAGGTATGGAAAGAAGCATATTTAGACTGTGCCTGGTGGGTGAACATATGGTTCTGAGTCACGCTTGAAGGCAGCACATTCGAAGTCTGGCATGTTCCGTAATGAAGGTGGTGGCTGCCATGTGCCCCAGTAGTTGAATGCAGTTCCTGATCGTGGTTTGGGGGCAAAGCAGAATTCTGTTTGCTATGTTGGAAAGAGTCACAAATCTGTGCTGAGGAAGATAGGCTCTTTTTATCACTGCCCCCATCAAGATGTGCCCCTGTGAACTCTAGGTTCCGTACCCAGGTCAAGATGGATTTTTGTATGTACAGTTGTTGGCCCAATTTGAGGAAGAGTCCTATGGCCTTGGAAGGTGCCCGAGACATCAGTTCCAGGGGGCGGCTGTTCAGCAAGCAATGGTCCAGGTAAGAGAATACTAAAACATCTTTCCTGTGGAGTTGCGTTGCTACCACCAACATGACCCTTGGGGCAGATGATAGGCTAAAGAGGAGCATTCAGTATTGAAAGTTATCCTGGCCAACAATAAAATGAAGGGGAGTGGCATGTTGAAGGAACTGTTGTTTATTGGACGTCTTCACCACAAGGTGAGAACCTGAGGCAAAGGACACTGCCCAACGTACTCTGGAGTGGGTGTTTTGCTCATGGTCATATGCTTCTGAATCATGCTTGTTGCATTTCCCCAAATTAATGCCAGGTTACTTCCCTATTTTTATTAAGTTTCTTTACTACACATAGACTCAGTGATTGCAAGAGGGGAAGTATTGTCTCTTAGAGGTTCCCGGGGTGGTGTGGAATTTCCCAGGTTACTGGGTGGGGAGCTCAAGCCAGTGCTCAGTTGTATTGTAAAAAGGACCCCTAGATATTGAACCTGGCCCTTGTGGCTGCCGACTGCACCTGGTAGATGGGTTACATGAGTAAGAGAGAAAAACAGAGTTGAGGGAATCTCAACAGGACAATTGCTAGAGCTCTGACTCAGGCAAAGACAGTTCAGAAGGAACTGAGAGTGGTTCGCCCATGCAGTGCTATATAACAACAGCATGGGCATGAGACTGACTGAACACCCATGAGCAGGCCAAACGGACACTGCTATGAGAAATCACTGATCAAAGGTGCAGGGGGCTCTAGTGCACCTAGAGTGGAGTACCCGTAGGGACATGACTCGAAGAAGAACTGGATAAACAAGTAATTGAAGATGGCAGATGAAGGGTTGATGTTTGACATAGTAAGAGACTAGCCCAACTAAATAGGGAAAGGCAAAATTATTCAGGATGTTGAAGCATGGACAAGACTGATTTGATGCTGTAGAGAATGGAGGCCCATGAAAAAAGGATGAAAGTATAAATGTACAACATCATTTGTCAGTGCATCTATGAAAAGTGATATTTAGAGTGTATACTCTTAAATATGATACTGTAAAAGAGCTCCAAAAATATATATAATCAATGTCAAGCACTTAAAAGTTAAGAAATGACAGAATTAAGCTTGCCTGTGCGACTTTAATTCAGCCCCCTTCTGTGTAGGCATGATGATAGTTTTAAATTACATGATAACATGATATTTTATCCATAGAAGTCCTGCTTCATTCAGTGCACAGGATGGATGGTGCTCTATTAAGATCAGGTATTGAATATTTTGTTTTATCTGCATGATTCAATGCATGGCCTATGGTTTATTCATGGCACACTATTCAAACCCTGCTCTGAATACAGAATTATGAATTTCCTCATGAGCTTTTCTATGGCACTGATTAGGGTGCTTCCCAAACATTTATTTATCTTCAAAACACCCCTGTGAGGGGAGGGGATGGTATTATCCCATTTTACAGAGAGTGAGCTGAGGCACAGAGAGATTAAGGTCAAAACTATCCACTAATTTTGGATGCCTAATTTAAGAAGCTTAGGATCTGATTTTTCAGAGTACTTAGCATTAGATAGCACTTTATATTCAGAGCACAGCTCTCACTTGACTTCAGCTGCAGCTGTGAGTCTCCTTGCCCACCAAATCCCAGTCCCCAACCTGAGTCCCAATTTCCTCCACCCCCCAACACTCACTCACTCAGTGTCTCTCATCACCTCCAGTTCCAGCCTCACTAGACTCCTTGTCCCAGTCTACTCTTTCCCTCCCTCCATCCCTCCCGATATGGATCTTGTCCTCTATGCATTCAAGTCAGACAGCTTCTTCATCCATGCTGCCTGGGCACCAAAAGGGAAGGATGTCATTGAGAGCACGGGAAAGAGAGTCTCCGTTTTCAGTTCTAGTGTCTGTCCATGCCCTGGCCTGGAACAACTGGAAGCAGCAATTACAGGGAAAGTCCAGCTTCAACCCTGTAGCCCTGGGCTGGAGCATGCTCAGTCACTCTGTGGTGATGGTGCATGAGCAGTCTGGTCACTAAGAGCTGTGAGGGGATGGAGCATGTTCATTAAGGACAACACCTTTGGAGATTTTATCTGTTAAATGCTAAGAAGTTTTTACTGAACATGTGTGATATGAGGTTTTTCAAAGGTTTATAACTTGGCCAAAGGTGAGCAGAATTTTTCAGGAACAGCAAAAGGCACATTACTGACACGAAGGCCAATCCCTATCAAATTTCAAGTCCATGTTCCAAATTTAAAAAATGACCAGCTATTTTTTAAATGGCAAAACAATGTTTTTTTCCTTTGCTTCACGCTTAGAAATGGCTGAACTGTTTTGGCTGAAATTTTCCAAAAGACATCTGGCATATACAATTTCACCCCAAATGGTTAAAGTTTGGCAAAGTTAAAAGCAACAGAATACAGGGTCTTATAAAAGGAAGTATTGGGCAATCTTAAAATAGGTGGGTCTGGTAGCACTGTATATAATTATAGCATTTAGAAGGCTAAGTTAAGAACAGAGGCCATTATAAATAGAAAAGAATAACCAGTACCAGGATATTTCACTAAACTCATTTGATTGGAAAGCTGAATGCAAATAGCAACATTATGCAATATAGCCTGAAAATTTATTTTTACAGGACTATAATAATGTTATTTTTCTTGATCCGCTCTGCCCAGAAGGTGATACAATGCCAGGAGTGCACATGCATGTCTTCCTTTTTTTATTTTCTCACTCCTCACTTCAGTCAGCTTCCTCCTTTAGTAGGATTGAATTAAAGGGATATTTCGTCTTGACTGTACAGTCTTAAGGAACCACACACATGAAGTCCCATTGAGATAAATACATTAATCCAAGAGTCTGCCCGGACTATTGCGGGATCAGGACGATATTGATTTAGCAATTTACCATACCTGCATAAGTGAAAAGAAATGGTTCATCAGGATTCCCATATGATCTGGTAACCAGCCATCATTCATGATATCACTACGTTCTTGCTCTGCTTCTTCCCTTCTGTTTTCACAAATATCCCAGAGACGGTCCCTCAGGTCCTAAATACAAATACTATTGCAAATAACTGATGTGTAAAACCTTAGGCAATCTTTCATATATTTAAGAAATTATATTGGTGTGCATGGCAAAGGCACCTTACTTCAATCCCATTGTTAATTAAACACCTTTTTCCTCAGTATAATAAAAGTCAATCCAAACGAACCTGGCCAAAAAGTAATCAACTAGGCCCTGAAGCTCACAAAATCTAGCTTTGGAGACCCACCAGGGGCATGGATTGACTGAGAAGTAAGAAGACACAACTAGTAATACTGGTACCAATGAATGCACAATGTACCAGCTGTTTTTTCTCCAAAACTGGAGTGAGAATTGGTGGTGGTGGAGGCTGTAACCTTCACAGTTTTGGGGACCAGAATATAATTTTTGCTGGGCCAAAAGCCACTTATGGCAAACAGGTCTTTGAAGCGGAGATGCACCTGCACTGGCCTTTAAACCTGAAAGAAGGTACCCCTCATGCTTTGCTCTTAAAAAGCACTCAGTCCTTTATCTAATGGCGATTTCCCAGATTTCTTCTATATAGACACATAAAAAAAGAACAAAATTGAGAACAGAGGTACTGGTATACTGACCATATTTTTGACAAAGGAAAAGAATGAAAAGAAAAAGAAACAGTGCTTATTCCAAGTCCTCTGTCCACCATAACTAAACTCCAGGATAGTTCCCTAAGCTTTTAGGATTTCATTGCAATGCACTGCAGAAAAATGACACTGCAATTATAACATCTTGTTCCAATATGATGACAAGCACTTCAGGCCAGATCTAATCAATCATTTTAGCAAAACAGTTGGAAAATTATTTGCAATATAATAAACTCATCTCTTTAACAAAGTTAATACAAGTAAGGTTCACCAGAGTACCAACTGCTTTGAAAAGATCTGCTGAAAAGATTTTGCATTGTATATTAAAACAACTACCACTTTGTCTCTTTCACAACAGCAATAAGTCTGACTCAGGGTAAGTTTTTCATCACTGATTCTCTAGCCTTTTCTCCTACCAGTTTATCAGTTGCAGGCTGTCAATGTAAAAAGAAAGCAAAGGAAGGGGAAATATAAGTGGCTAAGTTCAGTCCACTAGTAGTAGGTATTAATTTAAATTATTTGCCTACTGATAAAATTATAATCACTATGGCCAAGAGGAGATATTACTAAAGTAACATGCAATATGAAAAATACAATAGTTTTATTTCATTGTATGCAGATCTTCTAAGACAGGGGTTCTCAGACTTTTGTAATGGTGACCCCTTTCACACAGCAAGCCTCTGAGTGCGACCCCCCTTATACATTAAAAACACTTTTTTAATATATTTAACATCATTATAAATGCTGGAGGCAAAGCGGGGTTTGGGGTGGAGGTTGACAGCTCGCGACCCCCCATGTAATAACCTTGCGACCCCCTGAGGGGTCCTAACCCCCAGTTTGAGAACCCCTGTTCTAAGAAGTACAGTTGCATTCCTTTTCTATTTAATGAAGCTGATTCTTTAGTAGCAACTGCCACAATTTTTTTCCATCTCCTGGAATTCTGCACGTAAAGTCTATTCTTCTCTCCATGTGACCTTAGGTTTTGCCACTGAGATAGAGCATCACATATGGGATATTCCAACTCCTGTATTTCTTTTTAGCCTCTTGAAATTGTTTTTAACTGGATTTATGCTATTATCCTGGAAAAAGTATATTCTGACATTTTGATATTAGAAATCACTCTCTCTTTTTGCCAGTCATGTAATCAATTCTTCATTTTTCAAATGTTCACCTTGCTAGCTGGGCCGCAATTTTGATGGGGCCAGGAGTAATGGAGACATTTTCTGGGGCTGGAGGATGGGGGAAGGGGGTGAGAGCTCACCTGGAAAAGGCTGAGGAAGTGTTCCATGTGCCCCTTCTACTTTTCTTTTTCCTTCCCTCTACTCCTTTTCTTTCAGCATGTGGGGGCTGCTTTTCCCTTCCCTCCTCTTTCTTCCTCATGCTTAGTGGGGGGAAGAGGGGACATACTCGATCAGAGGCCTAGGCTCTGAGACCTGTACCACACGCCACCACTGCCATTGGGCAGCAGGGGTTGTGCCAAAGCTGGCTCTGTTTGGTGACTGGTGCTGTTTGGTGGTGGTGGAGAGTGAGAAGGGTTGATATAATAGTTACCTAGGCACGGTAGCATTAGTACATTAGTATTCATATTACATCAATCCTGTGTGAATTCAAATGCCCAAAGATGTACAAAGCTCCAGAGCTAGATAAATTGAAACATTTGCCATTTACTTACAGTAACCCTTTGGTGTAATTCTGCTTTTGTTTCCTCATCTTCCCACAGATCATCAGCAATGGAGTTATAATCAGATTGCCACTGAGATACAAACTCCTGCTTATGGTCTGGACGCTTCAGGTAATCCTTAAAATGGTTTCTGTGAACAGTGAGTCAAAACAAGAGTTTTAGCACTAAAACATACATAGTGTACTAGGTTTCTGAGTGGTAGCCTGAATAAAGACTGGGAGTGGTTGGATCATTAGACAACCTAAATTAATTTCCCCAATACTAATTTCTACCTACTGTTACTCACACCTTCTTGTCAACTGTCTGTAATGGGCCACTCTCTTACCACTTCAAAAGTTATTTTTCCTCCCTTGGTATCATGCTGTTAATTGATTTATCTCATTAGACTGACCTCACACTTGGTAAAGCAACCCCCATCCTTTCATGTATTTATACCTGCTCCTGTATTTTTCACTCCATGCATCTGATAAAGTGGGCTCTAGCCCACGAAAACTTATGCCCAAATAAATGTGTTAGTCTCTAAGGTGCCACAAGGACTCCTCATTGTTTTTATAATGTACTAGAGGATTAATATAAAATGAGAATTCTAATGCAATAAACTACTGTTACTCACCTATTATCTGCTAAGTAGTGAATCACAGAATACCGTTCTTCTCTTAAACATCCAAGTATAGTTTTGATGGTATTTTCATAAGTATTTTCTACCGTTTCCCAATAAGGTACTAAAAATTCAGGTATTTCCTGTTAATTATTAAAATACACAAATCTTTACTTTATATACTTCCTACAGCCTGTCCAAATACACCATCAGCAAGTATAGGAAAGAGGTACCTCTGGACATCAGGTTAACAATATATTTCCTTTATTTTATTTATAATTAAGGCCACGATTATGTCATGGAGGTCATGTAATTCGGGACTTCCATTGACCTCCGTGACATTTTCTGCCCTGGGGCTGGAGCTCCCAGCCAGCCCCGCCCTCGCAGCTCCCAGCCCCCAGCCTGGTGGGAGGACCCTGCAGCTGCCCAACCACGCAGGGAGGAGGGGCTGGTGGAACTGCAGCTGTCCAGCCGCCTCGGGGCATGGGGGAACTCCCCGCAGCTGCCCAGCCAAGCAAGCGGGGGGACCCCAGGCAGCTGCCCAGCCATGGCCAGTGGCCCCCCTGCATCTGCCCAGCTGCAGCAGGCAGGTGTGGGGACCCCGCACAGCTGCTCAGCTGCGGCGGGCAGCCAATAGACCCCCTGCAGCTGCCCAGCCGTGGCGGGCAGCAGGGACTCCCCACAGCTACCCAGCTTTAGCTGCAGCTGTGGCCAGGGCATCCTGCAGCTACCAGCTGCCCAGAGCAAGGGGACCCCGCAACAGCCCAGCCCCAGGGGCAGGGGACCCTGGAGCTCCCACACACCTTATCGGTGGGGGACCCGGGAGCCCCAGCAGCAGGGGGTGCTGAACCCACCTACCCCTTTTGTCAGGGATATTCTTAGTGAAAGTCAGGGACAGGACATGGGCTGCCATGAATTTCTGTTTATTTCCCATGACCTGTCCCTGACTTTTACTAAAAATATCAGTGACAAAAACTTAGCCTTAGTTATAATGTATTACAAATACCCTGCCAAAATATAATATTTACTCTGGATACATCTTTCATAATATTAAAGTGTTACCATCTTGTCAACCATGTGCATTGTCACTCTGAGGAATTAACCATAAACTTCTAATATATGTCATTATCAAATTATCAGATATTTTCAATACTGTACACTGAGTTGCAGCATATTTTTAAAATCTCATCTCTTTAGGTATTTATATTTGTAATTCATGCTACAATCTCTCCTGCATTCATTATGTATTAGAAATATCTTTAAAAATGAATTCATTTGTAATGGACAAAAAGTTATATAGAACTCAATAAAGTATAGTCATATAAAAGATTCCTAATCTTGAACTGCTGCACCTTGGGAAGTGGCTCATCTATATAAACCCATTCATCTGATCCTGGTTTAATTGGTGGTGGTCCTATAAGGGTGGGAGGAGGTAGATCTTCAGGTGTACCTGGTGAAGATTTTTTCCCCGGTGATTTTCCTCGAACAGAGCCTTAAACATGAATGCACAATTAGTACTCTCAAATATATTTTACATAAGAATACAAACATGGACCTAGACACCTAAGATGCTTAGTTGCCGTCAAATAAAGTTTGCAGGTGTTCAAATGTGTCACCCCACAACCAATATCTAGCTGAAGTCAGTAGTTTTGCAGCTATATAGTGATATTTTCCAGTTTAGCTTTTATTTGATTTGATTTGCCAAAAAAATTAGGTTTCCTAAAGCTCTGCTGTGGAAGAAATAGAAAGATAATGAAACAAGTTACTTATCATGTTAACAAAAAGTAAATGGTATTGTTACCATTATGACTGACAGTATAGGTACCATGATTTCAAGGTATCACCATGTAATTTCTGCTTGATGGAGCTTGAACACTGTAAATATTTACAGTTTCTATACAGCAGGGCTGGGAAGAGCTGGAGTCAGACTGAAATAATTTCTAGGACCAATAATCCTTTGAGGTTACCCCATGACTTCATGGCAAGATGCTGTTTTTAAATTCAATTAACCCTAGGCATTAGGGTTACTCAGAGTGCTTCATTTGATATACACTCTACTCTTAACTTTACATGTACTGCAAAGTACAAAGTAAAGCATAGGTCATAGCCCTGCAAGTGGGGATACACAACACATAGTCTGAAAGACTTCTAGCAAAAGGAAAATGAAAGAATGGGTACTTACAATCACTCTCACTACTGGATCACTTTCTAAATACTAGGTGTTTTTAAATTGTTGAGGAATGAGAGAGAAATGGGCAAAAGGAGGGGCAGGAAGATGGTATGGGCAAGATTCAAAGGGGGAAGAAGAGGAATAAAAACAGAAAAATCAGATATATAGGGAAGGGGAAAGAAACAGGTGAATTTGGATCCAAACCCCGGCACTGAGGGAAAACTGAGAAGTATGGAAGGAGCAGAAAATGAGTGGTACAAGAACTGGGGGAAAGACCAAGGCAGATAAAGGAAGATAAAGTTAGTAAACTAAAGAGGGGGATCAGAAAAGATCATTCAAGAAGGGAGCTGGGTGGGGGAAATCTAGTGGCCTGCAGGAAAATGTGGAAAACTACTTAAGAAAACCATCCATAGGAACTATAAGTGCGGCAAGATTTGCAATTGTCACCTGCACTCCACCTTTGTACTACTTTAGGAGGGGGATCCAGCCAAATAATTTTGTTCTGGGAGCAGTCAGACAAGAACATAAGGTATGGTAAAATAATATTGGCTATACTGAGTAGAGAATTGAATGGGTCATGTTGTGTACAATAAGCTCATTTAAAAATGCTATACAATGGTCCCATTCTTTTTATTTAAATTTTTAGTGAAGACATATCTTGGTTCACTGCCTCATAACTGTGACAAATCTGTACATCCAATAATAGCATAACTAGTATTCCCCAAAGGAACAGCTGCTTCTGAAAGTGCTGACTTAGTATGCCAGAAAGCAGATAAGCTGATGACCAAATAAAGTACTCGGATATCTGTACTAAACATTGTGATGTCCCTGTCAATGCCCTAAAGCTCCTCCCAGTGCTCCCCCACTTAATAGCCCTACACTCATACCTCTGCTTTGCTCACATCATCCCTCTAGCTTATGAGAACAGGATTGGACTCCATTTGGAATTCATCAACACAAACCCTGAATTGCTTGTTGTTGACTGACCCAAACGATTACTGCCCCATGGGGTCTGAGTGCTCTGCAGCACCTCCAGTGTGAAATCCTTGCTCCTCTCAAATCAATGGGAGTTTTGCTATTGACTTCAGTGGGGCCAGGCTTTCACGCCAAAGTGCATGCACATAAATGCAGAAGACGAAGCCAACCACGTGATTCCTTGGAAACATTTTATCCAATTATCTGTCATGTGTGACATTTACAAGAATTCATCACGAAGTGGCTGAATCTCCCTTTGTTGGTATACTACACCAAACTATCCATATCTCAGTGTGCCTTACATCCTAATTAACAGTTATCAACACTATTTTTAAAGAGAGGAGTGGAAGGTAAGTAAGAACTATACATCCTTATGTTAATTACCAAAACAGTAAAAAAAAAATGCAAAAGTGTACTCCACCTGGTTTATTTGCTGCATCTTTTCCCTTGGGTGCTTCATCTTTCATTACCTTTTTGTCCTTAAAGGATTCTGATTTTTTGGGTAGCTCTAAGGAAAGTTTTAAAAAAACCACAAAGACACACAACAGAGACACCTTTAAGATGCAGAGTTACCAGCATTTCTGAAGTGTTAGCATTAAAGAGAAATTGGTATATTAGTATGTTGATAATGGTCTTTCCTGTATATACATTGCGCTGTCTCAGATGGTGCGGGTACTAGCTCTGAGGTTAAACACAGGAAGGAAAGGCTGAAATTAATACTCAGTTACCTCAAAGAAGTAAATTATACCAGCAGGACAGCTCCTTTTGAACATTTTAGAACCTCTTCTCAAAGTATCTGTGAGAAGCTGTGAAACTGACTCATATAATTGGAAAAGGTAGACAGGCTGGTTCAGAAGTTTGGGACAATTATTTAATAGGAAATACGCTCTAGTTAATCTTTTTTGAAATACACTGAAAATATTTATTATTTCCCAGGATCTGTTCCAAACAGCTAAGAGCGAGCTCTATAAATAAGTTTGCTATGGCTGACAAACCTTTGAGTGATTTGGATTTTGCAGGCATAGGCTCCTGATCTTGAGAAGGAGATTCAGTTTCCTTATTTTTATCTGCTGGAACTGTTAGTGTCTCAGCTTGTGGCAAAGGGGTAGGAACTTCTTGCTTTTTCTCAGCTTCTTTTTTTTCCAGTTCTTTTCCTTCAACACAATTTCAATAAAACACATATAATCTGATAAAAGAGGTACTCTAAACATATTATTAATTTTGAACCAATAAATCTTGAAGATTATTCACTATTATATCTTATAAAATATCTGTGTGAACAACAAATATGTTTTTACTTTTGTTTTATGTATTTAAATGGATTAGCATTAAAAGAAAGCTACGTTTAAAATGGGTGCATCCATTTGCCTTTGCACAAGCCGTATATTTATAGAGACTTGCTGAAAATATGCCTTTTAAAATTAAACATAACTTGACAATTTTTTCTCTCAGTTATACCAGTGTAAAACTAGATCAACATCAATTAAGTTATTCCAAATTTATACTAGTGCGTCTGGGAACAGAATTTGGCCCAGGCTTACACAATACATATATACATTAATACACACACAACAGCTGAACTACCACCAAAATTCCAACTTTGGTATTTTTGTGAGTTTGATCCAAAGAAAAGTTTGCCATTTCTGCAAGTGAATATAGCTTTTCATGGGCAAAATAATAAAATTTCACCTAATGGGGGAAATCTGTTTGCCTCCACAGTATAATACGGGTCTTTGTCAATAAAATATATAGTTAGAAAATGTTTTTGTCTATATAAAAAAATTTGCAGTGAGAATGAAAAATGTGTCACTTTTCCACAAACCTGCAAAAATATTATACCTTTCAGTGGCAGTGAGATTTTTTTAAGCTCCCTTCTGAATTATAAAGACCCAACCATATATTTTAATATTAAAGTTTTCATATGAAAAAAATAAATTCAAAAACTTACTTCTATTCTCTTTTTTAGCAATTTCCTCCAATAAGATTTCCTTTATCCTTTTACACAGAAGGTTCTTCTCTGTCTCACCATTAACTTTCACTAGAATATTTTGCTGCACTGAAAACCATTTCTCCAGTTTTGGCCAGTTGTCTAGAAAGCCCGCAATTCTGTGAAATCATATCAGTGTATAATTTTAAAATCAAAATGTTAAAACAAATGGTGAAAAATAAAATATTATTCCCAACCCAACAAACACATTTAATAGCATAGTGTCTAATCTAAATCTAATGCCAATCGTGAAGATATTCTGGATGCAGAACTCCCAGTGTAGATAAGGTCACAGGTTAAACTAATCTTCTGTTACATCATCATTAAAATCACTAATTATTAATATATTAATATAAACTAATTACAAATTTAAAAATGCAGGTTGTTGTCCCTTTAAATTTGCTTGTTATACAAAATTAAATATTTAAAAGTATAGTACTATTTTTGTATATAAAAATAAAAGAGAAAGATAAAAGAAAGCCCAATTTTGGAAATCTAATACCCTAGGCCAAATTTAGACACAACATGCATTTATGTATCACATAATATAAATATGTAAATAGCTGTTTTGATATTAATTTGAAAAATAATCTTTTCAAGACTTTGAAAAGTAGAGTATATGAATTATTATCTTTGGGAATCATTTATACTATACCAATAAATGAGGACACCTACTTGGGCCCCACTTCAGCAATTTCTTAAGGACATCCTTAACTTTAAGTACATGAACGGTGTCATTAGAAGTCAAGTATACTCTGACTACTCTGTGCTTAAAGTTAATGACATGCTTCAGTACTCTGCTGAAGTAGAGCCTTACTGTACTAAATATAACAAACCTATGTTGTATCTGGTCCCTGACTAAGTCGATCTTCTCTCTTTCTTTGAGTTCAAGATCTGAAGCTTGATCACTGTCTTCCAGCTGAATCTGTGATGACCCTGATTTATCTGTTGAGTAGAAAATACCAGAGACTATTGAAAGAAGTTACTACATAGACTTGTTCTGTGTTCCTGTTAAAAAGTTTATCAAAATGAAAACATCGACTGGCTACTTCACTCCTTCATTTTTAAAACTGGCTCCATACATTCTACACAAAGGAGATGGTAATACAGTACTTTATTAGGAATACATTCTCATTAGGTTCCTGGGACTATGGCATTTACTGTCAAATTTTCAAAGTGCTTTAGCAGCACAATCCCTTTAAATTATTGAGAATTGCAAATCTAAAATTCTAAGGCCTTGTCATCACTGCATTGTTAGCTCTAGTTGTAACTCAAGTTTTACCTTTAACCCACCTTCTGTTCACACATAAAAATCTCTAGCTAGAGTTAAATGGTGCTTTAAGCTCGAGCTAGCTGGCTTGAGCTAGTTGGTCAAAGGGTATAGGTTGAAACTCGAGTGATGTTGGTGTTTGAGCTAGTAACACAGTAGGGATGCAGCAGCTCATGTAACAGCAACTCATCTACTGCTAATCCAATCACTCAGTGCTGCTAATCAGATCACTGTGCTTTCCCAGTGTGGCCATCTCACTCAGAGATAGGGTAGCCTGAGCGGAGTAACTCAAGTATACTAACTTCAGGTAACTATGGCAGTAAAGACAAGCCCTATGTCATTCTTTGGACGTTTAAGGGGCATTCTCCTTTGAATTTGGACAACATAGGTTCTCTTCAAGATAATATGTCCCTCCATAGCCATCATGTGTAAGGTGACAAAGAAGATGTGGTCTGAGTGGAGTGTGGGGGTGGCCATTTGTTGCCCACCTTATCTTTGACTCTACTCTATAATACAATGTGCTTTGGCTATTTTGTCAAAAACAATTATTCCTGCATCCTCACAGGAGTAAATGAACATACATACTGAAGGCAGTGATCAGTGTGGGGAGTAGTGGTGCCACTTGCTCGGGTGTGCACCTTCCCTCTTCTCCCTTTTGCATCTCTCCTAGTTTTCAATCATTGCAATATGCAGCCCTCAGAGAATGATATTGTCTGCACATGCACAATTAACTAGTCATATTTCTACACTTGCTGTATCCTATATTTTTTCTACTTGACACTTCATTAAATTATGTGGGATATTGCACATCAGCTGGTGCCAACATAATGCAGATTTAAACAAATAAACAAACACAGCATTTTTTGGCTGCAGGCAGATCTCGAAAATTAGGGGAAAAAATCTACAATAGTTTGAAAGTACCTGCACTAATGATGCATATTATCCATGAGATCTAGTGAGATTTAGAGAAATTTGTCAGTAATGATTTTTTGCTCCAATGAGTATAAGTTATTGTGAGACATTCTGGTAAATCTTGAGATAACTTCTGTAACTAGTGTGTGATTAGTATGTCATATATATTTAGCTATACACTATAGCAGGAATATACAATCTGAAGTCAGAGGCCCAAAAGGAGCCTGAAAAATATTAAAATACAGCCAATAGCTTCCCTCTTTTTATAACTGCACATAGAGAACAAATCTGATGATGAATCTAAACAACACACAATTCCTATCCATCATCATCATCAGGGAAGATACAAGTAAATTTTTAAGAGTTTCTGGTATTTGTGATAAAAATTATGTAAGTTTATATGTGATTTTACAATTCAGCCCACAAACTCCTCGCACATAACCAATCTGATCCTTGGTGTTGTAAAGATATGGCAACCAAGCAGTGCATTAATGACTTTAGCTCTCTTGGTGTCATAACTACTTTGTATTTCCCATTTTATCATGATATGGGTGTCACTAAGCTTTTTAAATATATGCAGTGAAGTATAACTCACCCTTCATGCCAGCCATGCGTTCCAGCACTGCGGTGTCTGAAATGTCTAATAACAGAGCAAAATCAAATGCAGGTGGGGATAAAGGTGGATCTTTTGGGGCTGCTGGGTCTGTAACTAGGGAGGGCTTTTTAGACTTCTCATCCTTTGTTTCTGCTTTGTCTGGATCACTTCCTGTAAGTGCTTTTTCAAGTAGTTTTGCCTGGTTTATTGTCATTGGAAATCCATCCATGACCCATCCCTTCTTCTGTGGTGTTCGTCTAAACATAAACAAGGAACTATAAACATGTAGAGAAACTACTTTAACTTAATATTAACATTTACAATAAAAAGAGTTTTTCCATAATTCTGTAATTCGAAATTAGGTAAAACAAAATATCATGACAATTCTATAAAATAACAGTGTATGTCATTAAAATTAACACTAGAAATCAAAAGATTTTCCAAACAGAAAACCACAGAAAACAGGACTAAAACCAAACAAAATAAAAGGACTGCAATTTTCTGGAACAAACACTGTGGGACTGATCTTTATACCATGAGAAAAGATGACAATTTTCTGTTCTCTGCCAACATGTGGAACTACAGTAGTAAATAACAGATTTCTAGAGGGAGGTGCATGCCTTGATCAACTTGCCTATTAGTTCAGAGGAGGTGAAAACTATTCAATGAGTAGCTCCATCTATTTCAGTGGCACTACTCGCGGAATCAGGTATTATTCACCATGAGCAAGAATGGCAGTACCTACCCCTAAGAAACATATAATTATTTAGCATATAATTATGTTTGAAAGCAAACTACACCATTTCATACTTAATAGCCTCCACCATGATGTCAACTAGCAATTCATCAGGAATATTTGTTCCTTTCTTCAACAATTTCTCTGATGCTGCACCAAGACAGGCACGAACAGATAACTGTGAAAAAGAGCAGTTAAAAGGATATGTAGTACTAATATCATGTTCAGGAAGTTCAGAGCACTGCACACTTAAAACACTTATTCAATTACTAATAAAGGCAAGATCCTCAGCAGGTGTAAACTGGCCTAGGATCTTGGTCATTACATGCAAAAATTAATGTTAGGCAATGTTAGGGTTGAAAAATGAAGCATTTAAAAAAATCAGGAAATTCAAAGTTAAGAGGCCTGATTTGGATCTCACTCTGGTTTTACACTGATGTAACTCTACTAGATTTGGATCTCACTCTGGTTTCACACTGATGTAACTCTACTAACTCCAATGGAGCCCGTCCTGATTTACACTAGTGTAAGATTATAATCAAGACTGAGGTTTTTATAGCAACATTTAATCTGGTTGGTGTCACCAGAGTCATGCTCTTTGTAGGTCTTCAGGATATTCCCACATCCTGCTTGTTGAGTAAGGTACTACTTAGTATAAGGCTAACATAATCTAGCCTAAGAAATAAACATTTTAATATTGGTAGGACCAATATAGTAACAAATTCTGGGAATGTTCTGGATATAGTAATAAGCAGATTTAAAAGCATGGGAAATATGCGATGAAGAGGTATTTGTGGATAATTCTGATGATACAGAGGACAAAGCCAACACAGAAAACAAATCCAAATTTGTGTAGTTACTTTGAGTAAAGTTATCACTTTTCATATTTTATATAGAAATATGAGCCTGTGGCATGGTCCATAAATTAAAAATAATAAGAGAAAAGTGCACTATTAACCGGTTTTGTTTAATATACAGACATTTCATATATCTGTACATGGTGGAAGTCAAAGTCAGTTTACATACTTTGGATACTTCATCCTTACTCTCGCTTGACTTCATTTCTTGATGAGAAGATTCTTTTCTGCCAAGACCATTACCTAGCAATAACAAAACATCAGCAAATATTACTTTTATTACATTAACATGTATTATTATTCTTATGGATACATAATATTACATAATATTTTTATTTAGTGAGTACTGTCAGCGTTCTCTGCACTGGTCAAAACACAGGGGGAGGCACAGAAACTATCCCCAGGAGCTTGTTATCCATAATTATTTTACTATAACTTCTCCTTTTCAGTCTATTTATTTTTAAGAGACAATCCATCAAATTCTTACTCACATGAATAGACTTTACTCCTGAGAACTGACTTCAATAGGGCAACTTGCATTAGTAAGGACTACACACAGGAGAAAGTTTTCAGGACTGTAAGCTTTTCAGGGCAGGATTCTTGTCTTCATACCTCTCTATAAAGCACCCAACATATTGTTGTCACTCTCCAAATATAAAATAACTACTATTTTGTTTTTTTTTCTCCTCCTCACACTATGTGATACCACAAATAATCAGTGAGGAATATGGCTTAGTCCTGTAAACACTTCTGCATGTGCTTGAGTTTACGCACACAAATAGTCTAATTGATTTCCATGAGATTACACATGTATCTGAAGTTAGGTATGTGTTCACAGGTTTGGGGACTATGTCCATGACAAACTTCAGGTTTCAAACTTCAAACAGTTTTTGCCGGAGTCATATTCAAAAAAGGGAGGTTAAAATTTTCTGCCCAAGGGAAAAGACTATTTTCAACCACCATATCCTAATACAAGGAGGCTGAAAAAGTTTCAACCTCAGAGGTGAACATTTTGGAAAACTATGAGTATGTGGAAACACGGGTTATAATGGGAACTTTTGCAAAGCATGAGCTGTAGTGGGCACTAACAAACACCTGCGAGCACATATAAGCAAAAAATCAGCAGGGGATGGAGATATCCTCTTTTTTGCCATTCAAATCCAGCCATCAAAATTATTTTAAAAAATTAATTAACTCTACACATTTTTACCTTTGGTTCCATCAAGTGATGCGCTCTTTGGCACTATTTCAGAAACCTGAGATGCTAAAGCTGAAGGCGGCTTCTTCAGGACCTTTTATAAATTAAACAATCACAAACCACATTTCTTAGTTTTCATAACATTAAGCAAGGATAGTTTTTGGATGTTTTAAAAGTATTTTATTGAATATTCAGTTATTTAAACATATATAAACTGATTGTCAGGTGCATAACAGCAGAATAATCTATAGTAAGAGTAAGAAAAAGTTACTAATGTCATCCTGGAATGATGAGTGTAAGTAGTATTTTGATATTGATGGTAACTTAAAAGCAAATGAAAAGTTGGGGATGGAGTGACAGGAAAGAGAGGGTTGTTATTTACTCATGACGCTACTCAAATTCAGGTAAACAGAGCAGGCTAGAAGGCAATGATCACTCTATTCACTATGGTCCTGGTCCTGCACCACTCAAGTCAATGGGCATTTTGCCATTGACTTCAATGGAAGCAGGATCAGGTCCTATATAAATCTAAGAATGGTTTGCAGTTGAGGTTGAAATCATCATTTTGTCACACTGCACAAAGCGAGTATTCTGGCATTTTCTCATATCCAAAGGGAGCACTCTTGCATGACAATAACACATTAATCTACAGTTCTATAGCTGGGGGTGATTTACTCTTCCAGTATGAGGTTAAGTTATTTTTCTGTCACTGCAGTTCTCAAAAATAATCTCTTTCTTCAGTGACTCAAGATTTTAGTGCATTAATATAATAAAGGATGATCGGGTCTGTACTCCTTTCCATGCCTATATTCGGTGTATGGTTCCTCCTACTTAACAGAGCATCCTAATGTGGGATTATTACTAGGCAGCTCCACACCATGTGGACTAACAAGACTTTCTTATAGGCAGGACTGGTATCACCACCTATTATTAAGGTTGCCCAACACTCCTTATTATCAGCCTTTTTTCAGTTTCTTATAACTTTTCCAAACTTTAACTATTTGGGCTGAAATTTTCTATGCTTGGTGTATTTGGGAAAATTTCAGACAAAAGGGTTCAGATGTTTCCAAGACTGAGGCTAAGGAAAAATACGTTGTGTCGCCCATTTAAAAAAATTATGGTGACCTTTTCTTTGAAATGGTCTGGCATCCTCATGCTTTGGAGCAGGGACTTGAAATCTAGAAGAGAGGTGACCTTTGTGAGTGGGATGGACCTTTTTCCATCCCCGTGACAATCCACCTAAAATTAGCCAAATTATAAGCCTTTGAAAAATTACCTGTTCACGTGTGCTCAGTAGAGACTTGCTAGAGCTTAACAATTAAAACTTCAGAATACTCCCTCCTCTCTGAGCATGCTTGAGCCTCTCACAATCCCAGTGCTGACCAGACTGTGCATGTGCCATCCCCACAGAACAACGGAGCATGCTACAAGGCTACCGAGGTACTTTCCCTGTAACTGCTGCTCTGGGTCAGGGTAATAGGGCTGGGGCCTGGAACTGACAGCAAGGAGGCTGTGTCTCCTGTGCTCTTTATGACCCCCCCTGCTGGTACCCAGGCAGAAAGGGAGCAGGAAGGAGTCTGCTTTGAATATAGAGGGGATAAAGCTGGACATCGGGAAATAAAGGGAGTAGATTGGGACAAGGCGTCTGGTGATGATAAAAAGAATGCCAAAAGAACACTATTAAGGTGTCAAAGCCAACCCCTCAAAAGTTAGGAAATGTCAGAATTAAGGTTGCCTGTGCAAGTCTTCTATACCTGACTCATCTCAAAGAAGAGGAAGGAACATGACTAATATACTTTCCCCCTAACCTGCTCCGCTGTTCCTTATAACAGTTAAATCTGAAATGAAACTTGCACTTACTTCATTTTGTTTCCCAGAACCCTCTGCTTCTCGTGGAATCAAGCTGCTTTCACTTTTCATTTCACTCTCATGGAAAGCTTTGATGCTGTCCTGGACCAGAGTATCAATAGACAATACCTGAATGTTGCAAGCTAATAGACAGAAACGTTATTGTGATAGGTTTCCATTTTGGAAAGAATATAAAGAGATTATTAAATGCAATTAAATTAATTCTGACAAGGCAGCTTTATTAAATGCAATGCACACTTCTTTTGGTTTGGGTTTTTATTGGAGTTTGTTCCCACCGACACTACACTGCAGCCTGTACAATGTACATTGATAACTGCAATTAGTCTGTTGGCCATTTTATAACCATCTACAGAGAAGTTCTGTGAAAACATTTCTTACAGTTCTTTACTTAAATTCTGAAGCAGTAAATTTATGAGGAACAATGAATTAACAATACACTTTTACATTCAGGAACTTTTCATTTTACTTTGGAAGGTGGAGAATAAATTACATGGAGCCAGACCTTGCAAGTTCTGATGCATCTGAGGCACCTATCTTGCAACGAGCTCTGCACAGGTGCAGGAATCTAACCACAAAGAGCTCATTGTAGGACTGGGGCTTAAAAAAGTATAAACAAACAAACAAAAAATAAAAAAAGTCTACAGAAAAAAAACCTTCTACCTTCTTCCAAGAACTTTACACAGGTGCTTTTTCCACTAAAAAGCTTTCCTAAAACACATCCCTGGATAGGAAACGGAGGAAATACAGGTGGTGGGGGTTCAGGCATTGGAGGGTAGACAATGTCCATCAATCTATGAACCACATGACCCAATATATTATTATTAGGTGGAGGTTTGCTTCCACTGTGCTCTTCAGGTGGGCACCACTCCCCTACCATACTCTGTATCAAAAACAAATCAGAGAATAATTTGTGACTATGCCTTGTATTTCATCTTTTAAAAGATAAATACACAAATAAATATTTTGCACTGCTAGAATGCTGTATTTCATCCAAAGATATCACGGGGCTTTACAAACATTATTAATTAAAACTCATTAAAACCTATTTGAGATAGGCATGTATTATTTTACGCATTTTACAGACCAGTAAACCCATTTTTATCTGTTTTACAGAGAAATTAAATAATTTGACTAATGCAATAAACAAGTCAATGGCAGCATTAGGAGCAGAACTCAGGAGTCCTGACTTCAGCCCCCTACTTTAAACATTAGACAACACTGCTTCCCTATTACCAAAAAACAACATCTAGCTAAAACTTTCAGTAACACATTGTAAATTATTTGATTTATTTCATAGGCAATTAGTTAAAAAACTAAATTACATAATGTTTTAAGGGAGGATAATAACCATGAGAAATGTGGGCCAGGTCTATACTTCAAACTTTTGCTGGCACAGCTACATCAATCAAGGGAGTGATGAGGTATAATCTCTGACCGACATAGCTGTGCTGGCAGAAGTGCCTAGCATAGATGCAGTTACACGGGCAAAACTGCATTCTTGCTGCTTGTGAGAGGAGAGAGGGCTGGAATAATCAATACTGGCAAAAGCGTAGTTTTGCTGGTATGAGCTGTGTCCAAACTAGGAGCACTTTGTTGTTACAGTATATTAGTATAGCTATACCAGCAAAGCACTCCTAGTGTTGACCCAGATGAAGTTGATACTAACCAAAGAAAAAAGGAACATTTTATTAGGGTTGGATAATTCTAGCTCTCTAAAAAGACTTATTGATAAAACAGGCCATTAAACAGCTTCAAGAGGACAAGTTTTGGCTTCCAACAACCTGGGCTAGATCCACGCTTGTAATCTAAAAGTTAAACACTTCATTACCAATCTTTTATGTAATCCAGTTCTCCCTCTGAGCACTACTGAAAGACACAATATGTATTCAATCACACTACGGGTAAAATATAAAGCTATTTTTCCTATGTCTGTTAACAAATAGATGTTTCACACTCTTCAAATATAAACTTGATTTGTGCTTACTTATTTTCACATGGAGCATCCCATGGAAACTGTAACTACATGTGATTACATATAACTATATTATTAGTGTAAATTAAAATGTTGCCTATTTTTTAAACAGCAAAACTTATTTTGAGCTATAAAATGTGCCCTCTAACATATCTCAGGGCAGGTAAAAATGTATGAGAGGAGACAGGATCAACTTACTTGAGCTCTAAGGGAATATTGACAGTGCAGCTGGAGAATGCCTCTCAGCCCAGGTAGACAGACACGTTAGCTCCTCTTGAGCTCATGTGCTAAAAATAGCAGCATGGACATTGTAGCACGGGTGGCAGCACAGGCTAGCCACCTAAGTACCAGCCTGCCTGACTCCCTGGGTCCGAGTTCACGTGGCTAGCCTATGCCACCAAAACATCCATACAGCTATTTTTTAGCACACTAGATTGAGCAGAGCTAGCACATGTCTGTCTACCTGGGCTGGGAAGCATGCTCCCAGCTGCAGTGTAGACACACCTCATCAGACAAGGGGGAAAAGTGAATTCCATACTGCATGAACTCTCCATTAAGATCACTCAGTCACCAGTTTTCTGGCCTTTAAATCTAAGGACTATTAGCTTGTGTGTCTCTGCTGACCTAAATGGTCATGATGGTTCACAGGGGACAGGCAGCCTGGTCTACATTACAGTTAGGTCAACGTAAGGCAGCTTACATCGACCTAATTATGTCAGAGTACACACTACACCCACCGATGTAAGTGTCCTACTACACCAACATAATAACTCCACCTCCACGAGAGGCATAGGGCTGTCAGTGTAGTTAAGGAGACACAGTGTCTGTCTAGGTATTGCGTTACTTACATCGGCTGTTGGCTGTCTTGTCAAGAAAGCAAGGCAGGGAGAGCCCAGCCCCCAGCTCTCCGCTCCCAGCTGGGCTGCACCCACCCCGCTCCCTGCCGGGTTGCTGCCCAGAGGCTCCCCGCTCAGGGACCCAAGAAGCCCAGGCAGCTGCCCCCACTCCCAACTGTGAGTGGGGATTTGAGAGTTGGGGGGGCAGTTGGGTTCCCGGCAGGGAGCTGTGTGGAACTGAGAGTCCTGGCTCTCAGCCACCCACACTGCCCCCAAGTCAGTGGAAGTACTCCTAGTGAGGACGCAAACCACCGACAGAAGGAGACTAATGTGGACATCAGCCACCGCGCTGGCTGTAAGTCAACCTAACATAGGTCGACTTAAATCTGTAGTGCAGACATGCCCACCGTCTTTCAGACAGCCAGGACCCAAGTCATATAGGGATATACAGATCAAAGTCAGTACCTTGAATTGCACCTGGAAGTTAACTGAAATTCCATGTAGATCTAAATTTTTAAGGACATAAGAATGGCCATACTGGATCAGACCCAGTATCCTGTCTTCCAACAGTGGCCAATGCTAGGTGCCCCAGAGGAAATGAACAGAACAGGCAATCAGCAATCCATCCCGTTGCACATTTCCAGCTTCTGGCAAACAGAGGCTAGGGCCACCATCCCTGCCCATCCTGGCTAATAGCCATTTATAGATCTATCATCCATGAATTTATCTAGTTCTTTTTTAAACCCTGTTATAGGTCTTGGCCTTCACAACATCCTCTGGCAAATTGTTCCACTGGTTGACTGTGTGTTGTGTGAAGAAATACTTCCTTTTGTTTGTTTTAACTGCTGCCTATTAATTTCATTTGCTGACCCCTAGTTCTTGTGTTATAAGGAGTAAACAGCATTTCCTTATTTCGTTTCTGCACACCAGGCATGATATTATAGACCTCTATCATAACCCTGCTTAGTCGTCACTTTTCCAAGATGAAAAGTTCCAGTCTCATTAATCTCTCCTCATATGGAAGCTATTCCACGCCCCTAATCATTTTTTGGCCCTTTTCTGTACCTTTTCCAATTCCAATATATCTTTTTTGAGATGGGGCGACTACATGGGCACACAGTATTCAAGATGTGGGCCTACCATGGATATGATATTTTCTGTCTTATTATCTAACCCTTTCCTAATGATTCCTAACATTCTGTTAGCTTTTTTAGACTGCAGCGGCACATTGAGGGTATGTTTTCAGAGAACTATCCAAGATCTCTTTTTTGAGTGGTAACAGCTAATTTAGACCCCATCATTTTAGATGTATAGTTGGGATTATGTTTTCCAATGTGCATTACTTTGCATTTATCAACATTGATCTAGGAGAATTAGTGTAATGTGTTCCTTGTGACTGATTCTATTTAACAAGCGAGCAGCTGCAATCTACAACTGCTACAGCTTACACATATTCTTCAAGGGCAGTCCATTGTAGAATGCACTGCAGTAATTATGTCAGGTGTCACAGTGCTTTGCCGTACTTTGCTGTTTTATCAGCTATACTTCTTATATTGGAGTCACAATATTTTGTAAGGCAATACATACCTGCCTATGTTCTTGTCTTCACTTTTACTCTCTTAACCTCACTGTCTCAATCTCTGACATCAAAAGTTGCTGCCATAGCACAAGAGTTTGGGATATAATTCAAATATGCTGTTAATATACTTATTTGTATTTGATGCAGTCACTGCAGTTCTAGAAAAATGTTTGTTAATCTGAACTGAACAAGATATTGTAAAGGGCCTTGCTGATGCATTGCTGACTGACAACTTCTCTATATTCTCTAACTATGCAATATTTGTTCATATTGTTTTGCCTATCCATTGTTACTCCAAAGCTCATTTGAATTGTGTGCATTACTATTCAATTTCCCCGTGTATATAATTTTAGCAGATCAGCATTTTTCTTACTTTTAATAAGTGCCATTAGTGTGTTCAGCACTGTACAGTACATAGAACTATAGTTCCTGTATCAAAAAGCTTATAATTTTGAGGTCCTTAACTCATGCAAACTGATGTTAATTTTAATTGGGCTTTGCCTAAAACCTCATTAAAAAATTAATAAGGTCTTTACTATTTTCCCCTAACTTAGACAAACAGAATGGTTCAGATGCATAAGAAACTGGAAGATCAGATGATGGTGAAAATTCATGACTATGAATTTTTTCCCCTTCAAATATAGGTTGTGGTATGTTATATACTTCTGGCAGCACTAACTGAGGTGGATTAACATTGATAGGCTCTGCAAAAGTAGTATTTGAATGAGGGATGTTAAGGAAGGATTTGAATGAAAAGAGAATTGATGTTTGGTGCAAGCATAGGGGGTAGTGAAGATGAAAGCACAAAGATGATAGGGGAAAGATAAAAAGGGCGGTGAGATATACCTCTTTCATATCCTTCCCTCAATACCCACTTCTGCTTTGATGCTAAGTGTCTGAAGTTGGGCCACGTTGAAAATTAAGGGCCGCATTTGAAAATTTTGGGTTAAGTGACTTGCCATGACCAGAGAGTCAGTGTTTACATAGCAGACAGGTTGTAATTAGAGAATCAGTGAATTGGGTTCTTAATCTTGTGCTGTGCTGTATAGATCATGCTCTTCTTTCATCAACATTGATTTTATTTCTGTTTGCTCTCTGTTCAAATGTCTGTAACCAATTTGACGTGCTAAAGGATTCTAGTGAATAGTGACTATGCTCTTTTTGAACCAATGAGTTATTGTACATTGCATCACTTGAAAATAATGCAAACAGTTAAAAAATTACTATCCTAATTATTGACTTTTTTCTGCATAAGCTCAATAGGTATTTAAAACAAAGTTCTACTGCTGTCTGTCCTAATTCAGTACATGACTGCTGTGTTGACTGGCCTGTTAAGAGTTATAAAATTACTTTAGATATTTTTTAAAATTAACATTTATTATTCAAAACTTATAAAACATTCCATAAATTTGCCTGGCACTTTAAACAGATATTAAAGCTATGGTCATTAATTTGCCATTTACTTATTACCAGTTAATTGCAAGTTAATTAGAAACTGAATTGAGAACACCAAATGTTTGTTGACAAGGAATGGAAGAGGGGAGTAGGACTGGAAACCTAGAGGTGAAAGGACCTGATTTTCCTTTACACTAAGGTCCCTTTATCCCACTTGCAAGGTAAGGAGCCCTTAAAGGGTACATAAATTTAATTTACATCAGTTTTAACATCCTGCATTCTCCCAGAGTGGTGTGCAGAGGCCTTAATGTAAACGAGACTTTGGCCTAAATGGCCTAAAGACTTATTATGCCATTACTAAATCTCAACCATCTAGCTTCCTCCCTCCACAGAGTATATTTGTCTTTGCTCTTCTAAGGAAGGTTTTAAAATTTATCATACGTGTTAATGCTGTATGAACAGGTATCTTGTAAATAACTTTCAGTTGGCAGAGAACATACTCAAAGATTGAAAACAAAATAAACTGAGCTGTCAGACATACACCACACCAACCCCTAACAAAAGTTGACTACTTACTGCAAAAGAATATGTACCAATTGGTTCAGGATGTGGGTAAAAAGCACATATCGTGTGGTAATCATTTCTCAAACAACAAAGACAGAAATACAAGTTATTTACAATGATTGTGCTATATTATACTAAACAGACTGTCAGAAAAGATTCAAAGCATAAAAGCTTCTTTTTCAAACAAGAGAATAAATAATACTGAATTGGGGGGGGGGGGGGGATAACTATGTAGCGTACTTTGGCCAAAGCAGTTCAACATTCTTACTTCAATTTTCAATTGTTAAATTACATTGTGTTCTAAAACTGCAGGAAACAGATTATAGGATCTGAAAAATTGTCACTTAGATTATTACAGCATGGTCACAACAATATCAGCCATCTTTCAAAACTTCTTTTTTAAAATATTGTCCTATTAAAATAAATGGATCACCAAAGATAAAATTCCACTACAAAGGTTTAATTCACAACTTGTTGCAAATAGTATTTACAGGACTACCAGATCTTGTCACAGGCACTGTTTTTATTTAGTCTTGGGGTTTTTTTGCTGACTACTTTGTGTTACATTTTCTAATGTGGTGCAATTAACTACACTTTAATTTCTACTTAAAAATAATTGCACTGAGATTTCACATGTTGTAGTTATGTATTCTTGATAGTAACATCAGTTGTTCATATACAATATGAAATGTGTTACTGCACTCAAGGCCAAACAAGGATTAAGATTTTCAGGGTTGCACAGGCTTTCAAATGCCAGCAACAGAAAATATTATTTACTCCCAGACCAATATGGAGTTAATGTAAAAACATCTGTAACTACATGAAAATTTATATCTAATTCTATCATCATAAACTGTCCAAAAAAAAAAAAAACCCCAAATGTATTATAACATCACAACAAATTGTCAACAATCATGAGTAAACAAGGTGCATTTTCTTTCATTATGCCATGTCAGTTAGGGGTACCTTATATTCATCATAATCTTTCTCATCTAGCAAATTCATTTTATCCAACTCTACAAGTTGTTCTGGGGTTGGCTCAGTTGGCAAAGGTTCAATCGACGCTTGTTCATATATTGGTTTTCCGTTAAAAAAAAGTTCTTTCCAATCACGCATCAGTTTAATTGGAATTAGGCTGCAGAAACAAAAACAAACCAAATTAGTTGTCAAACCAAACTAACAAGTCAGCTATTTTGAGAATTATGGACCAAATTCTGCCCCAAACATGCAGCAGAAGTAAACAGGTTCTACACTAGAACATCTGTGGGATTTGGGATGAAGACAGAACCCACCCTAAAGACCACATAGTTGTACCCAACCTCATCTGCAGCTGCTGTCATAGACACAAGGGCCGCTGTATCTCCACATATGTGCTGGTGTGCAGTATTTGGTTGGTGAAACTGTGTATTAGCAAATCTATTGTCTCTGCCCCTCTCCTACTCCAAAACTTATATTCTCACTGAGGAAGGACTCATTGGAGGATCTGTGGAGATGTACTCTAGGCTACACAAGAGATGTGGACTCCACATCCAATCCATCCCTTCCGCAGTTTTCCTGCAGTCAGAGTCTTACGCACCAACAACAGAGGGTGGCAAGATCTGTCCAGAAATACCTACGCTACATGCTAATATTAGTTTATGATAATATAAGTAATTCAACCTGATTATATTTCCATTAGAAAAGAAAGGTATTTCTAGAAAATAACAAATTAAAGTAGATATAAATATGGAACAAGTGTTTTTTATTATTAAAGATAAAACAAAGAACCTGAACACATCATATGTAGTAATTCCATGGTTGCTCAAATCAACAAGCTGAGCAACACCAGTAGCACAATTAGCCTGTATTCAACAGGTGTGCTCAAATTGAACTGAGTTATATTATTGTCAAAATACATATGACTACCTTATAATTATCTTGCACTTTGTATTAAAGAAAAAAAAAGCTGTGATTTAATTATATGACCATAAAAGGGCACAACTATAAAATTGCTAGCAGACAGCATTATCATTTTGGAACACAACTTCATCTATTTGAATTTTCTTCTTTTTAACTACAGATCTGAGATAACTGAGTGTTATGCTATAAATATACTTTGCACATAATTCCTTTGAACACTGAAAATAATACTGTTTGCATCTTGCACAAGGAAATGCATGGAAATACTGACAAAATTTACCTCCCGTGGCAGTCAGGATGCTGATATAATCTTGATCTGTATATGTACCTATATAGTGTATTCACCACTCAGTTCACATATGTTTTATACTAATTTACATTGGAGTCATGGCTGCACATTGACAAGGAAATCACCCACAAAATGTGAACGTGATGTTAAATATTGCAATGCTGAAATACAATTCATATTAAACATCTATTGGGCCATAATTTATATTTGCACATTTTTCTTTCATAATCTTTTGCTCTTAATCTTTTAACATAACAGTTATTCTTTAAAGGCAATGGAGTTTTATATTTATATTCTTGGGGTGAAATCTTCACCACCACTCTAGCTTCTTTATGATGTGTAAAAAGGCTGGAACAACATAAGGGAGCCCTTAAAGCCCCAAATCTGACCAGGGAGGATTCCCCTGGGACAGGCACTGTGGAGACAGCTGCAAGACTGCTTTCCAAGGATCATCTCACAAGCTCTGATGCAGGGGGCATGTCAGGGGTGGGGCCACCCACAGTATATAACACTGTGGAGATTCCAAGCAGAGCTGTGGTCCTTAGGGCAGCCCAGGGAGGCTGCTGTGATGTAAACAAGCCCCCACAGCTGTCTAAATTATGCTGTGGGCCATCCAGCCATTGGAGCAACCTAGGATTGGGAGAGCACAAAGATTTAAGCCACTTCAGCCTCCCCCTACGCCTGACTTGTGAGTTCTGTGCTGTGCCTCTTAGAGGACTTTTTTGCTTCTCGATGTAGAGAGAAAAATATGAAAGTCATAAAAAGGACATCTTATAAAACTTATACATTATTCATATTTTCACAGTGTAAGACTATTAATTCCAATTATACTGAAATGCAATGGCCTCAGCCTGAGTACAGGGATACTCTACAGTTATAAAAACAAACATTCAGTCCTCTCCTGGTCCTACCAATTATTCAAGTCTCTGAATTCTCATAGTTTCTAGAGTGCTGATATGCACAATAACTGTATGATTATTTCTTATTAATCATACAGTATGTTAATCTATGTACTCTGACTGGATAAAAGCCATAGTGCAGGGCTCTGTGTAATCACTGTATAGTTATTTTTCAATGTCTCTCAAGAAGAGATGTACTGACCTGTAAGGAGCAAAAGGAGACGAGAGAGGGAAATGAGAAGGTGAGGCGAAAGAAGGGGAGAGCACTTTCACACTTAGATAATGAAGAAAGGATCAAAAATATTTTAAAACATATTACCTTTGACAGTTCATGTTGTTTGTGGGCTTTCCCCCTACTTTCCCTTAAAAACTGAATATTTAATTTAAAATTTCAGTATAAAAAGATCAACAACCACCTAAAGTTGTAGCTTGTTAACTCATTATTAACCATATCCTGGATTAAGACTAGCTAGCAGTGATTTCTTCAGGGAGATGGGTTGAGGACCCCTATTAGGTAAACAATGACTGAAACACTGCCTTCCCAAAACCAGTATCTGCTCTTGATACCATGTCATGAAAATGGTGGTTTGTGAAGGTAGCCTTATTCAGTAGCCTTACAGATTTCAAATAAAGGCACATTGTTTATACATGTTGTGGAAGCTGCTATCCCCTTAGTTAAGTGAGCCCTGCCCAACTAGCTCCTAACATGACTGAGCGCATAATCTTATTCACTTACACAGGCTTTGAGCCAAGATGGGATGACCCTTAGATTTTGTGGCTTTCAGAGAACAAAGGTTCCACTTTCTGAATTGCTTACTCACATCCTAGTATCGTTTGCAAGACTTAGGACATTAAACCTGCTGTCGTGAACAATTCAAATGTGCATTATATTCCCCTTGCAGTTTCAGATGCATGCAGTATTATTTCAGACTGTCACAAAATGTGTTGTCCCTTTCAAAGCAGGCCTACGTCCAGTTAAAGCCTTTTAAGATCAGCACTCTGTGGGTTGTACTCATCAGAGGGATTGTGTGACTGCAGGTTACAGCAAAGCCTACTGTGGAATGGAACAGGACTATATACAATCGCTTGTTTTCGCAATAGTTAGAGAAGGCTGGAGGGTGTAGCAGCTTGCTGAGAGATGCTCCAAGGTGGACCAAACTGAGTTGTAGACCAAGATTGCCAATGGTGTTCCCAGAGGTCAGGGACCTGAAGCAGGAGAAGGAGAGGGGCTGTGGTCAGAAGCCAGTGAGAGGGCCTAAGAGAAGTCCTAAAGGCAGGCAGGAGAAGGAACCGGTGAGGAGTAAGAGTATGACTGAAAAGAGTATGAGCCATGGACTAAGGAGTGCTAAAGGTTTCCGGACCAAGGAGAAAGCAGGGGAAGAAAAAAGTCTGACAAGAAAATAACAGAGAAGGCAGGAGACTCAGTGAGAAAACAAGCTCTTTCTTATTTAGAAGTCCCAGGCCAAAGCTTCCAGAGAGGATAAGGGGAAGTTCTCCTTTACTTTCCTCCTTTAAGTGGGGAAGACCACACTATACCCTGGAGAAAGGGCTGTTTAGCCCAGTAAGGATGAAGGATTACTGAGGACTACACTGAGTATGGCTGAAAGATTTGTTTAGCCTGTGGCAGGAAAAGTCTATCAGTGAAGCCAGTAGAGAAGGCTGAAGAATTGTGGACCAGGGAGTGGCAAAGAACTAGTGTGGAATCCTAGCTATTAAGGGAAAGGACTTAGCGAAGGATGGGTGACAGTTTGTTTGCAGAAATCTTTTGTTTTGAACTTTAAATATTAAAATAAATATTTACTTAAATAAATAAAACTTTAAAATAAATATTTTATTTGTCTTAGAAAGGGAGGAATATTTGACTTGGTCAGAGGGCCAAACTGCCACTTCACTGAAGCACCCAGCTATCTGAAAGCAAGGGGAAATTGAAGCACTAATCTGATGGGAAACTAAGGCATGGCAACATCTGATGCCAGACCAGGTAGGAAAACTTCTTACAGTCTTAAAGCATTAAGTTGTGGTTTCTTGGCCTTCTTAAATAGTTGCTGTTTCACCCTACAGGTGGCTCTGTTGCTGATGTGAGGGAAGTAATTTATAAAGTACACATTGAACCTAAAGCCTTTTAACCTGAAGGATCTCAAAATGCTTTGCAAACTTACTTCCATTAGGGCTGTCCAATTATTAAAAAAAAAAAGATTGTGATTAATTTTAATTGCACTGTTTAATTGCAGTTTTAATTGCACTGTTAACAATAACAGAATACCATTTATTTAAATATTTTTGGATATTTTCTACATTTTCAAATATATTGATTTCAGTTACAACACAGAATACAAAGTGTATAGTGCTCACTTTATATTATTTTTATTACAAATACTTGCACTGATAAAAAGAAATAGTATTTTTCAATTCACTTCATACAAGTGCTGTAGTTCACTCTCTATCATGAAAGTGCAATTTAAAAATGTAGAATTTTTTTTTACATAATTGCACTCAAAAACAAAACAATGTAAAACTTTAGAGCCTACAAGTCCATTCAGTCCTACTTCTTGTTCAGCCAATCGCTAAGACAAACAAGTTTGTTTACATTTATGGGAGATAATGCTGCCCACTTTTATTTACAATGTCAGCTAAAAATGAGACCAGGTGTAAGCATGGCACTTTTGTAGCAGGCGTTGCAGGTGTTTATGTGCCAGATATGCCAAACATTTGTATGCCCCTTCGTGCTTGACCACCATTCCAGAGGACATTCTTCCATGCTGAGGATGGGTTTTGCTCGATAGCAAATGTTATGTCACCAAAAAAAATAAAAGTCTACATTTGTAAGTGGCACTTTCACAATAAGAAGATTGCACTACAGCACATGTCTGAGATGAACAGAAAAATACTATTTCTTCTGTTTATATTTTACAGTGCAAATATTTGTAATAAAAATAATATAAAGTGAGCACTGTACACTTTGTACAATTTTTATAATTAAAATCAATATTTGAAAATATAGAAAAACATCCAAAATATTTAGAATAAATTTCAATTGGTATTCTATTATTGTTTAACAGTACGATTAAAACAGTGATTAATCACGATTAATTTTTTCAATCAAGTTAATTTGTTTTGAGTTAATCACTTGAGTTAACTGTGATTAATTAACAGCCCTACTAGCTATATAAATTACATTGTGATCCTTTAGCACAAAAGGTTATACTACAAATATAATATTTAATTATTATTACTTCATGTGAAAATATTGAAAAATATTTCCAGTTGAAAGTAATTAGTACTGTGGAGTTGGGTTTAATTTTTCCACAGTAACATTAGCTGCGGTACATTGAATACGAGAAACAGAACTCATGATTCGATAATAACCTTTTAAATTATATGCTTGTTTTCAGTATTAACCACAACTGTAAAGCAGGGCATTCACAAGGGAATATATTTCATGAAATAATGTATCTCACTAATTTTCCTTTCCCTGTATTCTGTTTCTTATACATTTCTTTTCTCTGACTTCTGAAATTTACTTACTTGTTTGTCAACATTCGATATTCTCCTGTTTTGGTTGATAGATCAATAATTTGGTCAATCACTTCCCAACACATGGAATAATGCTTTTTATATCGAGCCTCCGCTCTTTCAGCAGCAATTTTCTCATGTAGGTCTCTTTCTTTGCAAATATGTTCCTCATAATCAATTTTTTCTTGTTTTGCAAGAGCCTAAGGATTTTTTTTTCAAAAACAAACTTTTTAATTAGATTGTTAATTAACTTGAACTGGCATAGCAATACAAAAAGTTTAAAAATGCTTAGAGTAATCTTTAAAAAGAAAATGAACTTGCTGAATTTGAGTCAAGAATTGAAAACATTTTTATCAGATTCATTAATCAAATGATATATAGCAGGTAATAAAAAATTAAGACCTGCAGAAGTCTGAATACAACCTCTGAAGACTCTGTAAGTCCCTGCTTTTTGCAAAATAGTTACTAATATACTGAAGTAAAGGAGCAAAATGTTACTTCCCCCATAACAAGTAAAATATTTTTTTCAGTGATTTCTGAAAAAAAGCCATTTTAACCTTAAACATGGAGAGAGTATATTTGCTATTCATGAAGAACAGTCATGCAGACACTGGACGAAATCCCAGTCCCAGTACAGTCAATACCAAAACACCTCTCGATGTCAATTGGGCCAGGATTTCAGCCATTAAATACATTTTAGAAAGTATGGCACACAGTTTAAACAGCAAGGGCCTAATCTGCAAAGAATTAATACAAAGATACTGATGCTATTTGAGCTTTAGAACCCCTACCCTCCAAAATTTTTGCACATAAAATCAGAAAGGAGGAAGAGCAGCCTGACTATCAGCACTCCCAATAGCACAGTGGGCCCTGGTGGCCAGGAGGTGTAATTCTGGCGAATCCCTGATCAATACCTACAGACTCCTGGATGCATGAGATTCTTAATGAAAATTAAGTTTATTTTGGAGGGACTGGGGGAGATAGAGTGAGGGGTCGGGGCTGGAAAGGGTGAATGTGTGAGTGTCATGCCCTGCTGTATCCATAACATTTGGCATAACATCTCATTTGGACTTAGGCTCCCAAGTGCTTAAGTCACTTTTGAAAATGAGACAGGCTCCTAAGTCACTTAGGCCCTGCAACATTGGCAGGGCAATGCCTGAATACCTTTAAAAATCTGAGCTCATGTATGGGAGGTAGACAAAGCTCCGCACAATATATTGAATAATTAATCTTTTACCGCCTCTCTGTCAAGAGCTTCTTGGAACTCTTTCAGTCGTCTTTCCTCATACTGTTTTTCTCTGAAAATTCTGTTCTGCCATAGCACTTCTTTTTCATGCCGAACATGCATGAGTTGTACAGCAATCCTCCGCTCCTGCTGGGACTGTCTCATTAATCTATTAATAAGTTGCTCTTCCCGGTAAGCCTCCTAAAAAAAATAAAATATTGTAAGCTATGCTAAATAGTGATTAACTATTTAATGGATTATGTCAGAAAATTCTATACTCCTGATATAAAATGTTTATTCAAAATAGCATGACTGTCTTCATCTATGCCTATTTAACATACATAGCCTAAAACTTACATTTCTATTTATGATGCTATCAGTAATATAATATAATTATGGTCTTATCAAGTAATACATAACCACTTAAAAATCTTATAATTGAGATACTCAACAGAAATACATTTTCTTAAAATTTAGGCAGCTAAAATTAATTTTAACACAGACTGAAGAAAATCCTACATACAGACAATTTTGATGTGACTTTTCTGTGCTTCAAATAATTCTTTTTCTAGTTGTAAAGATGCTCACTCCCCAACAACTAGTCCGTTTCCTTCTCTTCTCCTGACCCCGTCCTACAACTCATATCCAGTCCCAGTTCTCACTCTTCGAAGGTTCCTTGTCCTAATCTACTCCCCCCCACATGCACATCCCCTCTGCTTTTTATTCAGGCAGCTTCCTCCCTCACAGTAGAGCGGGGGCATTGAGTACAGGTGACTCTCCATTCTAGTGCCTGGACCTGGCCTCAAGATAGACTGCATCAGCCTGGAACTTAATTGCAAGGAAAGTCCTGCTCAGCCCTGGGCTGAAGCATGCCTAGTACAGATGGATGGAGAGCTGTAGTAGCCAGAAGTTGGTCCAATAAAAAAAAATATCACCTTACCCACCTTGTCTCTCCAGTACAGATGGAATCTTTCGAGAAGATCTAGCAAGTCTCTAGTGAGTATGCGTGGACTGCAATTTTTCAAAGTCTTATAATGACAAATTTGGGTGGATTGTCACAGGGCCGGCAAAAAGCAGATCCCTGACACAGAGGCACACAACTCCTCCCTTTCTCTCCCCTAAATGCTAAAATGTTGCAAAATAAGTCGGCCTGATGTAGATGCCCAGCCTGTAAAATTTCAGCCCAAACAGTTAAAGATGGTAAAGTTATAATAGGAAGTGTCAGGCAACTGCCTATTATAAATGTTAAGAAAGAAATCATAAAGGAAAAGGAGGACTGGTTTTCTGTTTCTCTTTATTATCCTAATTAACTTAGGAGTTTAGGAGGGTTTAGGAGTTTGTCCTTGTTAAATGCAGTGGCAACCACAGTTTGTAGTATCTCCTCATTGACGTGCTTACATTTTCAGCTTCCTTCTGCAACTCCTCTGTTCTTATGAATTCAGATCTCTGAATTAAACTTCAAAACTTTTCAGCTGCTTCTGCAGCCCAGGCACTGCGCTTTGAGTGAAAGTTGCAGTTTCTCTTTGAAATCCCACTGTCCCACAGAAGGGCTTGAAAGGGAAATCACTGATTCCCTCTGCAGCCCAGACACCTGCTCCAGAAGCAATGGTACAGCTTTAAAGTTTAGTTTAGAGATTTGTAATTGGAGCTTGTCTAAGAGTCCCAATTCAGTTTCTTCAGAAAAGAGGAGAGAAGTGGACAAAGAAGCTAGACGGGAAAACTGGCAGGTCTACACTGACACTTTTATCCTTCATGAGCCTAGTTTCCCTTTCATCAGATGTTTGTGATGGAGCTGCAATGGAACAACACACTACATAAACCCACCTCAAATTTTGTTTTTTGTTTTTTAAATTACTGTTAACAAACAGACATACTCCAAAAGCAATAACCAACTCTAATATGCTATAGTGTGCCTCACAGTGCAACCAGGCATGTAACAATAACCTACTAACACATATCCACTAGGGTTAACGGCAGTTCTAGAAGTACTATAGAAAATTATGAGAAAGATGTCATTTGTATTACTCAGACTCAATATTCCATTAGGCTTCTGAGGAAGAGGAGAAAATGGGCAGGAAGTGTGAATATGCAGAGTCATCGCAAAGAATTCTGTTTACAGGTAAGTTATATTCATTTCTTCTTCAAAGTGGCCTCTGCATATTTCCACTTCTGAGATAGTTTGCCAAACTGTATCCCATCAAAGGAAGGTGGGACTTGGAGTCCTAACTGAACAGGGGTTGAAATATTGTCCTACCAAACTGAGCGTCAGCTCTAGACACTAAGTCTAAGGAGTAGAGATTTATACATTTTGAGCTCTAAATAGCAATCTCACAGATCTCAGGAACTGGAACATGTCTAAAGCATTCTGTGGAGGGAGCCATTGCTCTGGTAGAGTGTGACTTAACCCCAACAAGGGGAGGAATAGATGTTAGCTTGTAACTTCTCTCTATACATTGTGAAGAGACAGCATGACTTTGTGGTTGTCTGTACATAACATAAAGAGATTGGGAGATGTGAAATTCTTTGGTCCTATTAAAACAGTAAGCTAGAGCTCTCTTAGTATCTAAAGTATGTAGTTCTGACTCCCCTATGTGAGTGTGAAGTCTAGGAAAGAAAACTTGCAGATTCATCATTTGATTAACGTCAAAGTCAGATACCACCTTGGCAAGGAATGTAGCATTTGAATGAAGTATCACCTTATTGTTGTGAAAGATAGTGAATGGTGAATTGACCATGAGGGCATGTAGATTACTCATTTGCCTAACTGATGTCATGGCTATTATAAACATAGTTTTAATAGATAGGTGGAATAGTGAACAATCTGCTATATGCTCAAATGCAGACTTCATGAGCTGCTTTAAGCCTGAACTGAGGTCCTTGAAGGAACAGAGTCTTTCATTGACAAGTCCCTTCATAAGTTTCTTAACTCAGAAGACAGATTTATTGTCTATGAGCACTTAGTGTGCCTCTATAGCTGCTAACTGCACTTTCAAAGAAGATTTGGAAAGACATGAAAGCTTTAATTGAAGTAAATAATAAAAATATATTATATTGGAGCCAACGTTACAGCTATATGTTTCTTGACTATCCACTTCACAAATCTAGTCCACTTGAGATATCATAACACCTTCTGGTTGACTGTTTTCTCAAGTTAATCAATAGCTGATGCACTTGTGAAGGGCAAGATTTTTCAAGGTATGTTAGAGTCCTGTAGCCCATGAAGTTAGGTGAAGTGGTAGAGGGTCAGAAGATAACTTCTGCCGCTCCCCCTCCCCCTTTCAGATAATAAACCTGGTAACACTGGAAGTAGCCTGTGCGCTCCATTGGAGAATTGAAGAAGGGCTGTTTATCACTGTTGTCTTGACCATACTTGGGCAACAAGAATTATCTTGTCTCCATCTTATCTTATCTTTTCTTTTTTCTCAGTCTCAGGATCAGAGGAAAGGGGGGAGAAACAACTAACAAAATCATCCAAAGCCCAAGATTTGGTGGTGATGGGGGACCTCAACTATCCAAATATATGTTGGGAAAATAACACAGCGGGGCACAGA